GCAAATTGTGAATTTCAGTCACAACTTGTATATTTGTTTTGTTTTATCGTTATTTCAATGTATATTGATATGCAGTTGTAAAGATCTAGTGGAGTGGGTTGTCTGTGGGATTATTATCCAGGAACCAAAAGAGCTTGTGAATCACAGTTTTTAAATTATATAAAAAGTGCTCTAGTAATGTAAGCTGGGGATTGAAAATAATCTACTTCAAAATTCATTTATTACTATTTTGTTAGGGATAGTTCCCAGAAAGGAGTAAAAAAAGTAGTATTTAAAAAGGTAACTGAATAGTGAATATTGAATTTCCACTAATGTAATATTAACTATTTAGAATGAATGTATTTCAAATATATTTTTATTGCGAAGTTCAAATAATTAAGAAAATTGCTTATCAAATTAAGATACTTTTTATCCCTCTGTGACTTGATCAATGTAATTTATTTGGTTTATTTCAACTATATTTTATTTATAAACATTCCATCGGTCATGTTAAAATCAGACATTAAATCTATAAATTTTATAGTTTCATTTACCTGATTTGTGTACAAAATGTGATTTAGACAAATCACACTTATATCAATTTCACATTTTCTAGGACAAAAACGATTAGAAGACAACCCGTTATCAATGGAGGAATAAATGTGGAAATCGGCAATCCATCATATAACATGTATGAGGTAGATCATGATCACAGCGATGGAGGCCTTTTGGATCCTAGTTTTATGGTAGATCCAACAAAGGTATATCTCTCACAATGATGGACTAAAGTACTAATATTTATGAGTCATACTTCTATTATATGATTCTGAATTTCATCATGCTTTCCTTTTATCTGGAGCCCTGGTGGTGCAGTGGTTAAGAACTTGGCTGCTAACCAAAAGGTCAGCAGTTTGAATCCACCAGCTGCTCCTTGAAAGCCCAATGGGGCAGTTCTACTCTGTCCTATAGGGTTGCTATGAGTTGTAATAGACTCAATGACAATGAGTTTGGTTTGGTTTTGGTTTTCCTTTTATCTGAAGATATGTTAAAAGACATTAGGATGTAATGAGTGTTATAGCCCATGTTAAAGAAAAAATCAAATAAAATTATGGACCTCATTCACCTAACACATGTAGATTAATATAATACGTTTTAGAAAGCACATATTTGTTATGTATTCACTTGGTCTGTAAACACGTAGTTTATTTAAAATAATATCTTATTCAAATGTGTTGTGGTATTAGCACATCTAAATATGCAGCCTAGTGTAAAAATGTTGGCTGATTTCTTTTTTCAATAGTAAAAAAGAGCAAAGTGCTTCTTTGTCTAAATAAGTACTTTATTTTTTATAGCACTTCTTTCATTGAAGAGCCAACTAAGCTGTCCTTAGATTTGTGTTTAATCAAATCACCTGTTAGAAATATTTTTCTATCTGTTATAATATTCTTGCTATTAACTTGAAACATGTGATTGATACATATAGCCTAAGAATACATAATCTTTTTAGAGTCTCCTCTAGTTTTGATTATTGTATACTAAGGTTGGCACGATTTAAGAAAAATATATAAGTTACACAATTACCCGGATAAGTTAAACTTTAAATATTCATTGCACTGAATTATCTGAATATTTTGCATGATAGTTTTGGATTATTTCACTCTTAACTAAGAATGTGAATTTACTATTAGAAAATAGCTTTTCTTCGGCTTATTTTTTCATTTACTGAACAATTATTTATTTATTTTCTGATATATTAAAGATACTTTGCCCAAAATGCACCTTTATTATTGTAAATAATCACAGTGGCCAATCTATATTCATATGGTTTTGCCCTCATAGCTACAGCTGCTCCTGAAGAAGTTGAATAGAGTCCCAGACATTCAGTGTAGTTCTGAATCCATGATTTTACTTTCTAAGTCTGAAATTGATCCATCACCTGTCAACTATTTACTTCTATGAGGAGAAATCAATCATTAGTGAATGGATAAATTTTGCACCATCAGAGCATACTGTAATGATTTCTCCTGATTAGAAGATAATTTTACAATTATTATTAATTCAGTAACTACCTCCTACATCTAAAATTTTTCATGAAATAAATCCTGGTAACCTTAGTTTTCATATACTCTACTTGAAATTGGAAGACTATATGTACTATGCATATTGTTATTTGATAATCTGTGATGGAGAGAGACATTTTAAAAAAAGCATTTCTCAAATTCAAATTCTTTGCATTTGTCTTAAGGATATAGTACCACATGAGCAATTATAAAGTGAACTGATGAAGACATTCTTTGTATATTTTTCATAAAGAGAGATCATTTTCCCTATTATTTTTATCTATCAGTGGTAGAATTGTCAGTTTTTGAACACTTACAGTGAATAGCTTTGTAGTATTACATCTAAAAATCTTTCTACTCTTATTCTACAAAGAGAAAAAAAATGCTTCAGTGCCTTCAAATACATTTTCATGTACTTAGCAAATAATACTTAATAAACATTTCTTTACTGATCTATTGACTAACTAACTAAAAGAACCTGGAATGTAACTTAGAAGGCTGATTCTAGCTGGCTCCTGATATTTGAAAAATGTGATATGAATTGTTGCCTAAGAAGTAATGCAGAAAACACAGCTAGTCCTAATAAGGTGTGAAAAGTAGAGGACCACATGGAAGTAACCTTAGTGGCCAAGTGTATCTCATAGTTGGAATATGCACTGTGTTATAGAGTGGTTTAGTATACGTGTGATCGAACAGAAACTGCATTACACGTAAAGGAGCTTTTTGTAAACAAATAATTTTTATTATTTTCAAAATGCGTGAAATTTCTAACATAATAGTACCTTATATTTGAAAGAATTGAATAGTTAATAAAGTTAATAAAATCGATTTGATTATAGAGGTAACCGCAGAATTGTTTGAAGACTTCAAATAATGGAGATAGTATTTACTGATTTCATCCCAAGTTCATCAAATCCTTACTTGGATTGTTTTCAATATTTTCTAAACAAAACTTTGTGGAGGAGAATAAAGAGGCAACATTGACTTGATTTTATGTTAAAAATATTTTCCTGAGATCCTTCCTTTTCTCCCAAACTTTGTGGTTGCTTGGTGTTAACAGGGAATGGTAGCATTTTTTAAAATATGTATATTCATGAATGTTTTCATATTAACCAAATTTTTGTCTAGATTTTTTTTATTATTTTGAACTACTTATAAATACAAAGTTGTCAGTATGAGTGTACCAGATTTGCTAATTCTGCCTTTGACCCAAGCACATTAGTCATTGCCTTTGCATGAGACATAGTAAACCAATGCAATTATTAATTAGTATGTCTGAGAGTACAGAGTCTCATTTCCAAAAACTCGGATAAGTTTGTTTTGATGTATCAAATTGAAAATTTGATTTTTTTCCCCCATAAGATTGTAGAGTGGTGATGAATCTTTCTTTAATTAGAAGCACTCAGATAATGGAGTGTCCAGAATGGGCCATTGTCAGAATTGTTCAAAATAATGAAATCTTAATTGGGGGGAGGCTGGAACATTTTTCACAGAACTGTGAGCAAAGATATTACTTCTTTGTGGAGGATGAAATTAAGCAGAAATGAACGGAGGATTCTAGGAGCATTAGCATGTTTACTGGTAAGCTGAACAGAATCAAAATGTCTACCTATAAGGCAAAGATCCAATGTTAACATTTCTTTTTTTTTTTTTTAAGTTGTTAAAACTAACATGAACACACAGTTCATGCCACAGGATTAAAAAGCGTTTTTGTGATGTGATTTTTATGCTTTATAATGAGTTTATGTCAATGAGAAATGGTTCCAAGATATTAGATAAGAAACTAAAATTCTCTGTTTACATACAGGCCAGGTATATAGGGACAGGGTCCAGTGCTTTCAAGCTTCCCCACACAGCGCCGACCATCTACCTAAACTCTGATTTGAAAGGACCACTAACTGCTGGGGTGAGAGAACATTCATTATTTCATATCTATTCCATCACAGAGCCCCTCACAGTCAAAGGCTGATTACTAGACTTAGATAGAGACTTCTTTTTCAATTGAATTTTTAATTAACAAGAGATTTCAAAACAGCATTAAAAATTGGAGGCTTATATTATGTGACCTGCCTATGCCTACATAAGATTATATACAAATTCTCATTTTAGACAAGTCATTAGGTAGAAATAGTCCTTCTACTGAATTGGAAAATGTTAACAATAAGAGTGAAGTATTTGCTCTTTTTAGAAAAGACAACTCTAGTGGGAAATTTAAGCTGAATGATTTAAACTTAAATTTATGTTTGGTTTTATCCATTTCTTATTAAGATGGTTTATTTAACAGATACAAATTTGATGTGCTGTTCATTAAAAATATACTTTACAATGTGGCGTCATACTGGGAAATTAGAGAGTATCTAATTAAACCATTCTTTTTTAATATAAAAATTAAGTAACTGGGGTCCGTAGACAGTTCTTCTCTGTCCTATAGGGTCGCTATGAGTGGGAATTGACTCAACGACAAGAAGTTGTTTTTGGGGGGGATGGAGTCCGTAGAAAGATTCTTAGTCTGAAGTGGCCTAGTTCATTTTAGGCAGAAGAGGGAATCCTAGGGCTGAGTATTCTTTCCCCTGCACCCCTTTTGCATCAACTGCTTTTCATCCTCATTTTTTACCATGTTTGTCTCATTTGCATGACTAAAAATTTATAGTGTCTCTGTTGTGACTAAGATTTAATGTACTACTGTTGAAAGAAAACAAAACAAAACATGAGACAATATATTGGGGTTACTGCACAATTAGTGAAATAGTGAGCACTGCGTATGTTATTCTGAGAGGTCACTTCTGCATTTCCCAGTTTCACTTCAAAATGCGTAAGTGTCCATGAACTTTCACAGCTCTGTGTTCTTCCCAATTCTTTGGAATGGGTCTAAAAATATTTTCAATAATAAGTATGCACAAATTGTCTGAAGCAAATATATTATTCTTTGTCTAAAAGGTTACTCCAGCAATGCAAGTTTGTTCATTTTTATTTTTTATTTGCTTGGTTTTTTAACCCCATATTAAAAAAATTATAAGCACCTAGCAATTAGATGATTTTCTGTAAACATATCAACGTATCAGTGATAGGCTTGCAATGAGGGAAAAAACAGACTGACTGAAACTTTGAGAATTTGATTTAAATGTTTATGCTTTGAAATAAACTCTCAATGAGTATAGCTTCCACAAAGATTTCTTTAAGTTTCTCGTATTAAAGGCCACCTCAGGTTCACAAGTTACCTGAAAAACATACAGTTATGTCCTTGTCTAATACCATGTTGAAGTCTACTAAAGCCTGTAAACATAGCACTTAAATTACATTTAACTATACACCATTTAGTAAATGTATTGCATATAAATGTTCTCACTATTAAGGGCTAGACATCCTAGAAAGTAACTAATTAGCTTTTTTAAGGCTGCTAATAACATGATAACGTATTTATTTTTTCTCCTCTAGACAACAAATTACTCCAATCCAGTGTATGCAAAATTATATATGGATGGGCAACACTGTCGAAACTCCTTAGGAAGTGTTGATGAAAGGAAAGAACTGCTTCCAAAGAAAATAGAAATCGGAATAAGAGAGACAGTGGCGTAATTGGCGAAACCTTTTATATGCTGTATCAATGTATAAAATATAAGGATTACTTTTGTATGTTCCAACAGTATTATACTTGTTTTGGCATCAGCATTACCTCTTTCCTTTTTTTTTTTTTTCCTGGTTAATTGTTTTCTGGTTTTATTTTTTGCTGATGACTATTGATTGACCATTTGTATGGTATTTTTATGAAAAAGAACTGCACTACAGTACAATTTACAACAATGCTGCTGATAGCCCACACCTTTGAATTTGTTAATATTAAAAACAACATAGAGACTTGTTTTCCTTTGTAGTGTGAATATGAGCAATCTATTTTATATGAACTCTTTCGGTTCTACTTAACAGAGATCTTTGCACTTTTTCATTATATAGTCTGGAAGTTGTAGTTTAATGTCATTTTGTTTTTCTGTTTAAATTGATGGAAGAATGACGGAATGGTCAACTCTCTTCATTGTGCCCATTAAGACTGATTCAGACTCTGCTGAAAATACATGGTCCTCACAAGTTCAGCATCACCCGCTTTGAATTAGCCTTAGATTGCCAAGAGATAGACAAGATTTTTGAGGAAAAACTCAAAAAATATATAAAGTTAATAATTTGCATGAACAGATAACTACATTTTCCAAAATTTAGTGGACTTTGTGTGATATACCAAATATATACACCCTGTAACCAATAGTTATATTTAGTGGTGGTTGTTGTTGCTAGGTGCTGTCGAGTTGGTTCTGACTCATAGCGACCCTATGTACAACAGAACAAAACACTGCCCGGTCCTGTGCCATTCATAATTCGTGGTAGAACATAGCAAAAATATCCTCCAACATAGAAAAACCACACTGGCGACGAGATAAGACCTTTTGTTCTCCCTCAGCCCTGAGGCAATAGTGAGCCTAGAGCACAAGAGGGCATTCATTGGGTACTCATGTCTTATGTATTTCTTCCCCGTCACGTGCATTTTGGGGAAGATTAACCCAACCCCTTACCACACTGGACACTGAATAATAATACATAAGCACACAAATTGCTGACAAATTCAATCATACAAAGGCATTCCCTTTGTTAGGTCAAAAGGAAGAGGCAAAACAGCCATTTTGGTATAGAGTGATTGGTAAATATTTTCAAGATACAATATGACTAATTCATTATTTGCCCTATCCAAAATATATTCTGAAAGAACCTTCTGGTTGTTATAGAACAATTTTCTGCCCGTAATCAAAGGTGGAGAGTATAAATGTTGTACCAGTTACTCTAGTACTCTGGTTCCTTTGGGTTATGCAAAACATATGGACACTATTCACTTTTTCTTTTTTTTTCAAATTTTGATTCAAACAAGTACGATTTATTTAAGTTGTGTAAAAAAGTATAGCATTTTTATACAAATATCTTTAAAGGCACAAAAGATTTATTCACAAGGTATGGAGGGCTTTTTTGTTCCTCTAATAGACATGACTGACTTTTAGCTGTCATAATGTATTAACCTAACAGATGAAATATGTTTGTGGTTGCTCTTTATCCCTTTGTACAAGCATTAAAAAAAAAGAAAAAAAAACACAAAAAAACCTGCTGTTTTATAAAGAGACTTTTTGTTGTACTATGTGCATGCATACTACCTATTTCTAAACTTTGCCATACTGAGGCCTTTATAAACTATTGATTTATGTAATACTAGTGCAATTTTGCTTGAACAATGTAATGCATATCATAAACTTTTTCAGGTTCTTGTTTAAGTACATTTTTTAAATTGAACGGTATTTTTCATTTTGGTTATAATAGTCATTTTGCCTATGTTTCTACAATGAAGTGTTAAATACTTTATAAAAAATTGTTGACTGACTTATTTAAAGGAAATTCTACACATTTAAGTGTTTGTGTTGGGTAGTTTTTAAAAATAGGCAAGTTCCTCTCTTTCTGTGGTTTAAATAGTCCTAGAAACCTGAATAGAGAACATGAGAGAGAATTTTTGTTATATTATTAGAGAAGGATTGATTTCATTGCATTGCTTTTAAAGCACAACTAAAAAGGCATTTTCTCTCGTCTTGAAGCAGAAACATTCTCCTAACTTTTTACTTGTTCTTACCTTACTATGCTCCTCATAGGCTTCACAGTGCAATAGAAAGACAGATCATATACACAGTACTATGACAACCTTTGATATAAGCCAAAGCTCTTTCTGCTCCTTCCCATTCTCAGAAATTGTACCCTGTGAAAAACTCAAATTCTACTAGACACTATTTAGACATTATTTTGTAAGTAGAGTAATTATTTGTAAAACTACTTGGAGCATCAGGCTAAAAACTGCAAATGTCAGAGCGTTCTGATTAGGTTAGCTATCTTTGAGTTGTATTATCTGAAGAGGTTCTTCCATCACAGGGCTTCATAAATACAACTAAAGTTATTATTTGAAACAAACAGAACACACGACTTGGAATGATTTTGATACAGTTTATGAGATGTTACCAGTAGCATAAATATCTAGTAAACCATATGTAATATACAACCCACTAACACTCTGGACCTGGTATTAATGACCTATTCTCGTTAGGGTGCTGGTGAGAGACAGTCAGAGCCCAGGATCCATTTGTTTGTTTTTCCTCTTGGGCCCTATTTAAAAGAGTCTTATATTTCCATGAAGTCCCTGGGTGATGCAAATTTACTTGGCAGCTAACGGAAAGGTTGGAGGTTCAAGTCCGCCCAAAGGCACCTTGGAAGAAAGTCCTGGCACTCCATTTCCAAAAACTCAGCCACTGAAAATGCTATGGAGTACAGTTCTGTATATAACACACATGGGGTCCCCATGAGTTGGAGTCAGCTTGATAGCAACTGGTTTTTGGTTATATCTTCATGGTCCTTGTTTGCACACAATGCTTCACCATCCCATGCTGGTACACAAAGGTCCACATCAGAGCTCGTAGCTTTTCTATTCACAGTTACTTTACACTCAGTCTTTAGGAGATGAGGATTGTTTTTTCAACCACACAAATGTAATTCACTATGTTTCCATACCTCTAGCTAATTCTAGTCTGATTTCATGTTGCAAAAACTCATGTAAATGTGAGAAATTAGCGGTATAACTCTCCTCCATGGTGGCAATCCTTCACAAATGTCATCAACAAAATATTTCCCACAATACTATTTCAGCTTTAGGGGAAGATATTTTGTAACAATGCATGCCTTCTAATAAACTTACTTACCTGAATGCCTTTCATCTAGAGCAAGATATCTCAACCTTGGCACTTTGCACATTTTGGGCCAAATAATTCTTTGTTGTGGGCTCCTGCCCTTTGCAGTGTAGGGTGTTTAGCAGGATCCTTGGTCTCTATCAATTGGATGCCACTAGCACCACCTCAGGTTGTGACAAGCAAAATGTTTACAGACATTACCAAATGATTTCCAGGGAACAAAATTGTCTCTACGAAGAACTGCTGACCTAGAGCTACATTCTGTCTCTCACCATTAAATTAATCTCAGCGGGAAAAGCTGAGTCAAAAAAAGACTCCTCGTCGACAAAATCATGGCATTCCCAACTTTGGATTTTAATTCTTTAATGCTGATGACACATAAGTTAGGAGTTGGTATTAGTAAAGTGCCTATGCAGTTTTAAAAATCATTACTAAGGAAATGAAAGTTTCATTTAGAAACTTGAACAGTTTTGGATAAATTGGACCATTGTCATTTATGTAAGTGTGTTTTATTTGTGGCCATTTTGATATCATTGATGGTTATGTTTTGTTTTCTGTTTGGTTATAAGCTTGCTTTGTTGGTCTTTGAGTTTGAGATTTAAACTTGCATTCTTCTTTCCAATTTTATGATGATTCAGATATGAAGAATTTCAATAATCAATGCACATTATAGCTATTACAAATGTACCATAGTATGCGAAATGCCCACAATTTCCAAATCTCTAACAAAAATTGATGTATGTGATAGAGGAAAGAGAAAATATATGTATATGTATTGCTTATTTTTTTATCCTCTCTTCTGTGTATCTTTAAACATCTTGATACTCTAGATGTCAAATTTTTATTCCTCTTTAAGAATACTGCTATCGACAAATTTCACTCTTTCATGTGATTTTATTTGAAATATTAAAGTATAAGAGAGTAAGGGTCCCACAGAGTTGAGCAAAATATGACTAACCGTTTTTTCAGAGAAGTGTACTTTGTCCTATGCTTCTTTCAGTTTTCATCAATTTATTTAACAATGAGTTTCTCACTATTAGCTTATATACTTAAAATAAGGTAGATTAGAATATGATCTATCTAATTGTAATTTAAAAAGTTATAGGGAGTGAGAGACTTAAGCATTTCCTTGTGAAGTTTGCTCTGGGTAATATAGCACAAAAAATTTTTTTCTCTGGCACACTTTGGGTGTGAGAAAAACAACAACAAAACAACAAAAAGAACCAAAACATGGTTTATTTTTCATTTCTTCTAGTAAATCTATTGCTAACTTAATGTAAAGTTAAGAAAAAAGAAAGTTAACACATCCAGAAAATATAAAGACAATTTGAAAAAGAATGGAAACAGTTTTATTCAGAAAAATATCTAGTTTATGATGTGATCATATCCAGAGGCCCAGGAACATGAACTTTAAACCATGCTGTCCATGTATCTAGTCTAAAGAAAGAAAAATAGATGAAACGAGTTCTCAGGTTTAGCTTTTCTCTAGTAGATACTATATGGCTGCAATTTATTCTGAAAAATAGTCTCTAGTGAATCCCGTAATTTTTTTTTGTAGCCAAGGTGATCAGTAATCAAGAGAAAGTTGGACTAAAGACGGCCCACTTAATAAATTCTAAGTTTAAAAATGTGTTCATTCTGCCTGAGGGATAGTCTCTCCCTTTAGCCTGGGGTTTATAATATATCAGTTAACAGAAGCAATACAATGCTGATACTTGAGTCATTTCTGCACACCAAGATAATTATTTTAGCTGTGGTTTCTTCTGAAGTTTTAGTACATCAATTATAAGCCTTCTAGTATGGCTTTATTCCTAGCTT